CTGCAATTAACAAGGGACGAATTAGTTTCTAATTTTCAGTCCAGAACAAATCCCTTCAAATGTCTTGTAAATCCACAAAACCAGGAATGTATAAAGGAAACAAAAGCAGACTGACAGAGATGAATTTATCTTACAGTTATGAACTGTTGACTCGGTAAGTGCACAAACTTATTCCACTGAATGCAGCTAACAGTGTGGAAACAATTGCCTTCCAGTCTCTCATTAGCTAAGCACTTTAACAACAGCCATGTTACAACATCAATCCACCCTAAACAGCTGCCTCCTGTGGCTCTGGTTTGGGAAAGCACCAAAGCTTGAACCTTATAGCTCATTTATGTTCATCACTGTCCTGAGCAGGGACATTCTCAAAGCGTTGGCTCACTTATGTCACAGATCACAATGGATTGGAGAAAAAGTGTACGATGTGCCAGAAGAAGATCGGGGACAGAATGGGACCCGGTAACAACTCAGACTGCACTTTTTGTTAAGCCTGTATTCTCCACTACCTTTTAGGACACTCTTCATCAACCGGTGCAACGATAGCATATAATCTAGATCTTCAGATTAATTTTTGGGCTGTCATTAGTGTTTGGAACGTGGAGCAAAGACATGTGAAACAGGAGGAAGAGGAGTTATAAGATGCCATCTCAAGGGGAACTTGCTAAATACCCTTTTGACCTGCAGTTCTCCCAGGAGGTGCTCAGCTCTTGGTAGGCCACCAGACCTGTCTGTCTCTGCACTGACTTTGCATCCTGGCAGGCTGTAGCTGAGGCAGGGAACACTTCAGGAGCCTACTGTTCTCTGCAGACTGGGTCATAAGTTGTGATGATGGGGGGTGGGGGTGTGCTGTGGGGGAATCTCTCCTGCCATCCAAACCGATTTTGAAGCTAACAAAAAATTGTGCAAAGAAGACAACAGATATCCATCCAAGCCTCCTCCTCTGCCCAGCTCTGAGATGTCTTATCCTTCCCTGTGCCTGTCTCTGTTATCATTTAATACAGATGTCTATTCTCCTTGCCAGCATTTTTGTGGTTTCTGGACAGGTTCTACTGAATAGCTGTGTCATCAATTTATTTAGACTTTCTGACCCATGACTAAAGGCACTTTGTTTTCTACAGTTTAGGGAAGATGGTGAAGTCCTCTCTTAATCTTCCCAAAAACCTTCAAAGAACACTTCAATCTTCAACATGGCTTAGGTATTTCATTTTTCTATATGTCATCTTACTTCTTACAAGGTGCCTGGCTGTTACTATAGTTAGTGATATTTTAAACCTTATGTGTGCCATTCTAGTTTGTACAGCTCCATTCACTTCGATGAAGCTATGCTGATTCACATCCATTGAAGTTCTTGCTCATGGCTGAGTTTTGGTGCATACATTTTAAGATTAAATTAAAATATATCTAGGTTGGCTTTATCCTTTGTTGGCCTATGATGCTTTATAAATACTCTGCCTGGTCAGTAATGAAATGATTCAATTGGTGCACTTTTGTACTCCGATATGGTACAAACCACATCCATAGACAGAATTTGAAGAAGAAAAAAGAAGTCCGAGCAGAAAAGAAAAACTCCATTCTTGGCATCTGAAACAGATTTCCAACCCCTTCCCCCAGTTCTCCCATGCTTCCCTTGGGCTGTCTGAGAAATAACAGATGCAAATGGGTTACTTCTGAAAGCACAGCATTTCCTCCGCAGCTGATGCGGTGCGAAAATCCATTTGAGGCCCAGCAGACATACCCATGAGCAAGCCACCTCTGAGGTTTGCCAAGAATGATACATTTCACCATACTCTACTATAAAGAGAAAACCAGACAACCACCTACTGGCTGCATCACAGAGCGGAGAAGCCCTCATTTCTCCAGACTGCAGAATACCAATTAAACACATCTCAAGCCATCTATTCCTAGTAGGAGCTTAATGCAGTGCAAAGTTAGCTTGCTTCTTCCCCTAGAAGCATGCTCTCCCCCGGAGCGATTTCTCTCCTTTGTTTCTGTGGCTGGCAAGTCAGACGTGCAGTAAAATCAGTCTGCTGTCTGATGAGTTTCTGATGAAATTCAAGGCTGAAGCACTGCATTTCTCGATTTATTTAGCATTCAGACATCCCCTGCTTCTTCATTTCTACACCTCAGCCTCTGGCAGTTTCAGAGTGTGGCTTCTTTCTCTAGGACAGCTGTAAGCTAAGAAAAGACCTTGTGCTAGGTTCAGATATGCCTCTGGTAAAAGGATTGTCTGTCTCCAAATGACACTTTTGGGCTGCATATCTGTATTCCTTTAGTGATTTGCATGTCATGTTTATGTACTTAACTTGTCCAGATATATGGTGGCTTTTTGTCTGCTTGTTTTTCCTGTGGTTATTGCTATCGGCACTTCCAGTTCAGGTTATAAAACTTGAGCAGCTTTTTGTTTGTTTCATGTATCATCACTAAAAGCAGATAGCAGATAACAGCTCATTTCAGCCAGTGCAATATCTGCCACCAGACATTAAAGAAGTGAGTAGACACACGGAAATTAAATTAGCTTTCATGTGTTCCTCTCACAGACCCTATAAAATTCAACTGCCGAAATTGGAAAAGAATTAATCCTAAAACCTTTTGTCTAGACTGAGCAACTATGGCATAAAGGAGACATAAAGGAAAAACTCAGGGAGTCTCTCTTTGCCCAACCCACAGCTCAGTGGCCACGTACCACTGGGAATTAAAAAAATGCTTTAGCTTCAGTGACATTATGTCCACCCAGCAGATTTCCCCTGTGATCCCCGAAAGAGTGAAATGCCAACTGCTGTGCCATTCTTCACTAGCCAGCAAAGACTCCGTGCAACTCTGTAGAACTGCTAAGGAAATATAGCTGTCTAGGCATGGTGTTTACAAAGAAATACAATTTGCTGCGGCCCCCTGGTCTTGTACGGTTGCTACAGTCCACAGAGAGTAGCAGGGAGGAGGAGGAAGATAGGCTAACATGGTGCTGGTTTTGAGCCCCATGTCCAGCAGCTGGGCTTGTTCTGAGGAATGCTAATCCAGATGCACAGCCTGAATTTGTGTTCCAAGCCTCCTGGAGCCCCTGTGCACACTGACCATCTGCTACGCAATATGTCAAATGGGAGTTGGACTCCCATACAAAATAATTACACAGACACTTGTCAAGATAAACGCAGAAGAACCTTTGCTGAGGCATTATCTTCCTGACTTTATCCGAGTAACTGGCTACTGTCCAAATCCTGCAAAGCACTGAATGTGTTAACTTACCATGAAAACAGGATCAACGCTTAAGAGATACCTTACTGTTTAATATATAAGCCTGTTTTTTTATCTCTGGAAGACCTGCATAGGGTTGGCATAGGATTGCAATGTTAAGTTTTGATCCAATTTATTATTTTTTTTCTGAGACAGCATTAGGCAAACCTCAGTGTTCTGTATGTTCCACTCTGTACTCCAAAACTCAGATATATATAGAAGGATCTGATCTGGAAACACTGTGCAACCCAGCTTTCTGGAATGTCTTGTTTTCAGGACAGCTGAATGGGGGAGCATGTTATTCACCCTGATGTTCTGTCCTTGGGGGTAGTTGAGAAGAACCTTTCATAAAGCACCCACATTGCCACTGCTGTAACTCAGCAATCTCAGGGAAGTAAAAGGGAGCTGGGGGCACTGGGTGTTTTCATCATGGGGTTGTGTCCAGAATCAATATGAAATGCACAGGTACTTTTTACAAAAAATAAATCAACATAATCGTTTACACCCACAAGACTGGGCTATCCATATTTTTAGCATAAGTGTTGGTAAGCTATATTCTTTTTCCTCATTCAGCCTCTTTGTTTCTAACTAAAATAGGATTTCTTTCAGGTTATAAATGGTTTCATAACTCTTTAAACATTAATTAAATGGACCGCTTCATCCTGTAAGCTATAACAACAGTTCTTCCAAATAGAAAGACAAACAAATTGCTTGAACATAATTTTGGCTTTTAATGCCATCTGTGTTACCATTTCTGCATTGCCCAAAAATGAGAGAAGACTATTCCAGCTCTGGCCATAGCTCTGCTTGGTAGGGCATCAAGCAGAGACTCTTCAGAGGAAGATACAAACACCATACCTCATGAAGATTTATGGTACTTCCTATGTGATCTTTCTTCAGTCTCCAAAAGCTTCTGCTTAGCTTAAAAGCTTACATGTTTACTGTCCTTTCCAAAGTTTGCTAAGTTCTGTCTGTAGTAACAGAGGATTTTGCTATCCTACGCACATGTTCGGTCTTTAGCCGAAAGCAATCCTCATGACAATGCTCTTCATTGCATAACTCTGCAAGGTATGAAACTATCTCTTTTTTTCAGCTTTTAATTGCATCAACATGTCCCTGAATTCTTGTTCTTTCAGACAGTGAGAGCAGAAAATTCTCATCTGCCTTACACATTCACCTCTTCTTATTTTATATACATTCTCCAGTTTATACAATTTAAGCCCTGTTACTGCTTATTCAAACCCTGCAGCAAGAAAAACAGTTAAGTCTAATATCTGTCCCCTCCCATCATTGTTAACTTGGGGTGGATTTACCAGGTTGGAGGCTGCAACTCTCACCCAACACAATGCACATGTCACGTAAAATGACACAGGAAAAGGTCATGGTGCTGTTCAATCCTGCTAACTTCTATCTAGGTTGAGTTTGAACTTGCTTGAATTAAAACAAATCTCTTTCATTTGCTGGTATTGATGAAGGCTAAGCAGTAACTGCTGAGACGCAGGCTGAAATATATCTATGGCATGGAGTGCAAACTCTTGTTTCAAATTTTTCAACTGATCTCAGTGAGGCACTGTTAGTTTTCAGGTGACAAAATACTTTTCTGAAGATTGTCCTGGCCCCTGCCATTTAACATCACTTAAACAACCAATGTATATGGACAACAGAAGCAGCATTTGCAAGGCAACTCAAAATGGCTCCCATCCCATACCTATCCCAAAGGTGCACACAAGACTAAATCACATATGGATGAACATAAAGAGTGGAATCCTTACCTGCCCCCCTTTGGGCTGGTATTTGATGTTATCTGTTGATCCAATTTTGGACCTGACGTTCTTGAGATCAGGTAGAGGCTGATTAATAACTCGTAGCTGCTTCGGAGTGGCTGGAGATTTAGGAGGAGTGCGAATTATGGCAACTTTTTTCTCAGTAGGTACCAGTATGGCAGATTTGGGGGTCCCAGGAGTGTGTGGGGTTCTGGAGTAGCTGGGGGTCCCTGGAGTGCCTGGTGTACGGGAGGCATAGCTTGGTGGTGTCCCTGGAGTGATGGCAGTGGAGCCAGGAGTAGTGGGGGTAGAAGTTCCACTTTTTCCTGTTCTGCTACGAATTGGCTCTGATCCTACATGCAAGAAAAAAAACAGCATTAGACCCACAGAAATACAGCTGTTCTTCCCTCTGTACCTCCCAAGAGTGCACCCCCGTGTGCCAAGCGAGAGACAGCTCTAAGATGGCTGTGCTAGTGCTGGAACAGCTGGATGTCTGTCTCAGTGTCTTATTTTGCTAATCAACCTGCCAGAAGTTACCTTGTCACGTGTGCCTGAGCTGGTAAACTACCCACACAATGAGTGAGCTCTCTGCTCTGTAACACAGGTGTGCTTCCCACAACACCTATGCTTCCTGCAAAGCTCACTAAACAAGGCACAATATCACATAAATTTCCGTCTTGGGGAAAGGACTAGAAGCACCCTTGGAATCTAACCTTTGGGACTTGATCTGACAACCTGACTAGCCAGTAAGAATGCTGTCACCAGTTTCAATGGATTTGGGCATTAAACTAGGAGTGGGGAAAATTCTGATTGTAATCCTGAAACTAAGACTCTGAGTGCCTGGCTGCTGCTGGTCACATAGCACTGCTGGTAATCTGGTGTCTGCAGCTGAACCCTGGGTGAGCATTCAGCTGATGAACAAGTCATAGCTCTGTTGTGTGGATGGGCAGATGTCCCTCATGTTCCAATTGCTATTTTTCATTAGTGCAGTGAAAGAAAGCAATTACAGAAGGCAACCTTGATTAAAAGTCACATTCTAGTTACATCTGCACGCAAGTTAAAAAGAAATAAATACTGTAACATTTTGTAGCAGCTCCATTCAGTGTTTATGGCATTGACAGTCCTTTTCACTGAGCACAAGCATCAGTTTAGTAGTGGCATTGTGCTTTCTGCAGCCAGCTCTGCTGGTAACTCTCAAACATGAATGAACAGAAGGCAAGATATCTCCATATGCTGCTTAAAGCAAAACTTTGCTGAGAATACTCAGGGAGAGAAAGACCAAACCAATCCCCAAAGCCTGAGAACCGCAATGCCGAATGGGTCCATACATGTTTTCACCTTTAAAACGTTCAGGAATTATAAATCCAATGGGCCTCTCTAGAGCACCCAGTGGGACTAATCAAAATCTTATTTAAACTATTTGTTAATCATTCTGTTTGTTTAATGGTGGTGGACCAAATGCAATGCACTGCTGCCCCTGAAGTCCAGGAGAAACTCTTTGCTCTACATGACTCATTAGACAGATTGAACATACTCCACTCTCACCTCCAGTTTCCCTGAACGGTTTCTTTCTTTCCAAACCAACCCTAAATCAGAACCTTCCCACTGTACCAACTGAGACAGAAAGGGAATGATTTTTTTTTTCCAGCTCCATGCAGCTTTGGTATATTTGTTTTTCATTCCCCAGCCCTTCACCACATTGGCAAATGCTCAATGGCCTCTGACTCCTAGTCAGCAGAATGGGCTGCTGTGCCAGCTGGGGGTCACTCTGCTTACAAAGGGTCTCCGTTTTACCCTTGGAGCATCACCCAAGAATTTCAAAGGACTTTTTTTTGTAGAATTTAATCATCTACTTCCCTTAAGCTGTCTTACAAGGGGCTGAGATTGGTTTCTAAAGAGAGAAACCAGAGGAATTCCTATTGGAAAGCAGGGAGCCACATCCAGGTTCTGAGGTCTGGGCTGAATGCAAATCTATCTAAAAGTTCTGGGGGTATTTGGTAAAATTATCTTTGTTCTGTAATTTCTTTTGGCTTGTGATTTGATAACATTGGTCCTCATAAAAGGACCTTGCTGGTTTACTATCCTAACTTCCTGCAATAAGTCACTCCACTAGCTAGCATCTCAATTCTCAGCAGAGTTTTCACCCTAGGATTAGAGTACAGGGAGATCATTACTGTGAAAGAGCAAGTTAATGACTATAAGATTAGGTTCACTTTCCCAAGATCCATCAAAATATTTTATATTGCTTACTTCAGGTTTGTCTCATTTTTCTTGCTGCTGTTTGTAAATGCCCTGTGTTAAATATCTTACCCAGCTCTGAGCTCCCTGCAAAGGCATTTTCTAATATTAGCAATTAGTCTGAACAGCAGTCCTGGGCACTGCAGACTATGGAAAGGGTGCATCCTGTCCCTGGTTTCAAGCCCTTGTGGCTCAGCACTTGGTATCTGAACAAAAACAGTTTGTGAAGCTCTGATTTCCAACAGCATACCCCAGACCTACCCCTCTGTGTAAAAGGTAGGGACACATGATGCTATGGCAATGTGACAAATCTAACAAGGATGGGAGACATTCACAGCAGTAGGAGAGGGTTAATATGCAAAAAACATACGGGTGGTCCGTCGTACTGAAGAGGAAAGGGAAGCTGTGAGGGAGAGAGAGTTCTCCTCTCTGTCTCGGTCTCCTGATACACCTCTTCGAGGAGGAAGGATAGAGGAAGGTCTTGGTAGAGAGGAACGCTTTTCGGGACTCTTGCTTACTCCATCCTAATAGTAGCAAAATAAAAAAGGAAGTTTTAGTTTTCAAAACTCACTCTCTGGGCTGTGATTTCTCTCAACCTATATACAGAGGGGGAACCTCACCCTATGGGTCCAGTTTACTACTCACACAGGAAGCTGTGGGGATCCAGCCACCTCCCATGCTCTGCTTAGCTCCCTGGTGCTTCTTTAATGCATCAAAACACCCAATAGTCATCTTCTGAGCTACTTAAGACAAATACAGATACTCTTGGATCTAAATATGGATGGATTCCACATCTGGTTCTTAATAAGGAACAAGGATTTTTTAGTGCAAGTTGAAAGTAAAAAAATTCTCTGGAACTCAGGTGTGAAATTCTTATGTAAATTTACTTGCAAAGTAACTGCAGTACTGGTGCACAAAATACACCCCACACTATATTGTTAGGTGATGTGTGATTTTTGCATTTTCAAACACTAACCTGTAATTTTTTAATGGAGAAGAATGTTTAGCTACAGCTTATTTTTTGAGTGCAGGAGTATTAATCCTGGTGTCTCCTCTTATTTCCTTCCATACTCATCTTTTTACTTTTTGAAATCAGCAGATACCTTCTTTTTACCAGGGTTAGAGCAATGGACATCTATGTTAGAATATTTTTAAACTTATGGGTTGGGCAGCCAAAGGCAGTCTTGCATAAGCAGATAATCCTCCCAAAGGCAAATATGATGATGGTCCCAACCAGTAAAAGACGCACTAAGCATAGCGTTACACAGAAAATGAAAGTTAATAGTGAAAACAGTTTTTAAATGGGGATAGTCATCAACTCAGCATCAAGTAGATTTGAAACACAAGTGAAATGTAAACATGGGGAAGCTAGGATGGACTGCCAAACTCCTCTTTAAATTTATACTGCAACTTCTTCAACATGGTCCCATGCATAGACCAAATTAGGTTCCTAGAGCATTTGGCTTCCACCCTTATTGCTGGTGATTAGAACTGTACCCTCCTACACTGGGGACTGAATTTGTTTTCAGAGAATATTAACTGGTTGAAAATTACATTTTTTAAACTTGGAAGGCAAATTAGTACTGCTGTTCTTTGCCACTTACCCACGTGCAAATGGGTGCAACTTCTTAGCAGTCAATGAAGCAGCATCCATATCATCAATAGAAAGAAGATATATCCTTCTAGTTATAACTTATTTCACTTATGTTTCCTCTGGAGAATGTCCTTTGTTTTTATCCATTTCGTAGCACAAATCTTGTAGCCTGATAATCAGTTTTCCTGCCACTGGATGTAAGTAATCCCACATAAGCTTCACAGAGAATTACTCAAATTCAGTGGGGAGAGAATGTGATCCATGGAATTCACCTACACATCTCCAAGCTAACTCTCTCTACCAACTCTGCTACCTTACCTTAGCATCTGATTTTGAGTAGGGCAAGCAGTCTCTTGGGCCTGCTGAGGAAGGCCGTACATAATAACTGTCTGTATCGAGAAAAGTGGCCCTTTTAGTAGTTAATGAGCAAGCTGAGCTGGGTCTTGGAGGAAGCAATGACTTTGCTCTAGACTTTGAGGCAGGAATCTTTGACAAAGAGGCAGTCTAGTCATGAGAAAACAAACAAAATAAAACACAACATGAAACTGGACAAAAGGAAAACACATGCAACATGGACCAAAAAAAAAAAGCCAAGCTATGAATTAATACTTTTCCTGTGTCTATGCAGTTCTGACATGCATAGAATCATAGAATCGTTTAGGCTGGAAAAGACCTTTAAGATCATCGAGTCCAACTGTTAACCTAGCACTGCCAAATCCACCACTAAACACATGAAAGTTTTAGTTCTGTGTTGTTTGACCGAAACCATCTGGGTCTGGACAGAGTTACTGATTCTAGCAAGTGCCTTTTTCTGCAGATGCTACTTTTGTCTTGTGTTAATAGGACAAAACTGGTGCCAGATATGGCATTTAACTGGTACAACTGCTGGTTGGCTGCATTAGAAGCAAGTGCAAAACTACAGGAGCACAAAGAGATCCTAGTCCTTTAAAACTAAGTTGTGCATTTGAAATACATCCCTCCAGTCTGCAGCAAAGAATAAAACAGTGGGAATTGTAAAAACAAAGTTACACCAGTATTCCCACAACAGCAGAATGACATGACAGTAGTGCTTCTTGTGCCACTGTGTACACACGAAATCCCTAATGCACCCCAAACACTGTATTCCGTGCATTTGGTGTCACTCTATTATAGACTGACAATGTGGAGTCCTGGGATGAGGAAACCCATATATGGTTGAAAGGCTGACATGATATGTCATTGTGATCAGATACTTGTCTGATTCTAAATAATGATAATACCCCATTGAAAGAACAATTAAACATCAATAAGACAGATTGAAAATTCTTTGTTGACACTTACGAGCACCTACTTTCTCCTCGAAAGAGAACAGGGCTACTTGCTTAAGCAACACTTTTTTTTCCTCCCACGGGTATAAGTGATACTACAAAAAACAATGGCAAGGCTGTTATCTTGGCAATGTAGTCCTGATTCTCTCTGTATTCATACAAGCATGAAGTTACACATAGGACCAATCCCAATGGGCCTGTAATTAATGGGATTTGGTACAGAACTTTAGCCATGAAAAATCTGGCATTTGATCTGAGTCAGTCACCTAGCTCTCTCAATGTTCAAAAAAGGTGTCTGAGTTACTCCTTAAGTTGTCTTTGTTAGAAAATGAGAAAAGAATGGGTTGTCAACTCTCTACCGACAGGCATCTGGCTGAGGCTACATTCCCAGCCTACAGAAAACTGAGGCCAGTGTGCTGAATGTCATCCATGACATCATCAACACGATTAAGAGTTGCAGAACTGTGTAACACACAATCCCAGTCTTACAACACAGCTGAGAAGACTTCTGTTGGATATCATCATCCATATCAAGTAGCTCTACTGAGCAAGACAAGAAATTAGTTCAAAGGATGGAAGTGCTTTACTAGCAAGAATATATTCCTAGAATGGGTTTTGCAACATATCTACATCTCTTTCTTTTAATACTTATTTCACTGTCTGAGAATACACAGAATAAAATCAGTGAATAATTATTTTAAACAGAAACGGAACAATATGTGTTTCTGTCACATCACAGGCTTCTCCAAACTTTGATTTGTCATAGTTGAATTTATGGGTCCCATTCACTTGTGAAACTTTGGGCCATATTTACAAATCCACTAAGGTGTTTATTGATGCTGAAACTCTGTGGAAGCAGGATATCTATGTTGGGTGGCTCCAAGAAGCAGACATTCTACAAACACCTTTCACCCGGTTTTCTGAACTTGAGATATAACTAAGTATGCACAGTTTGAGGCCCAAATGTTCATTCAGTGGTTTTCACCTTTTTCAACTTGCAGGTCATGCAAAATGTTTCCCCTAATGAGACTGGAAAACTCTTACAGATTAAGATTCTAAGCACAATGTAGAGACCTTGTCCTTTTCACTCATATTGCATACAGTTCCCTCCAGGAATATGTGCATCTAACAGGGATGCTAAAGATGGACAAGACTGAGATCTTTCAGTGGAACAGCTGGGGAAAAGGCATGACCTTGAGCTAATTCACTGCTCCAAGATTATCACAGTCTAGATCCCCTCAGTGTTAATAGGGAGCAAGGCACTTTTTAGCATCAGTAACAGCAGAAGAATCTGGCCCAACCAGATTTCAGTGACATGCTCAAGGCTGGCAGAGCAAGCAAAGAAACCACATGCCACAATCCCTGCCTGTGCTTTACCCAGAAAACTATTCTTATTCTCTGTTAGCAACACATTACCTTTGACCTCTGTTATAATTCATGTTGCTGGAAGTACCAGCTATCCTCAGGACAAAGAGCTATGTAACCCTGACCAGGACCCAGGGATTGCTGAGGTTGGGATGCAGCAACCTCACTTTATTTCAGAGGTGTTCCTAACACATGACCAATGTTCTCAGCATGTCGCTACCGCAGGTACACAGCTCCTTCCAGCAGATGGAACTGCTTAGCCTTTCCTGAACTTGTTCTGCAAAGCAGTATGTAAACTGTAGTTTGAAGATGGATAACAAAACTGACCAGGTTGGATGATCTAACATTACCAGTAGAGAGGAAAAGGCTGCACTTGAAGGACATAAAAGCTGAAAATCAGGAAGAAACACAACAACAAAAAGGGAGAGGTCTTTATAAAGACAGAGGTGAAGCCAAGGCACAGAAGAGAGAATGTCCACAAGATGCGTGAGTGTGGCAATCAGAGAAGCACGGCAACAGGGAGAGAAAGTAAGCAGGGGACAGACTTCTGATCTTTGCCATAACGTAAAGGACAGGAATAAGAAAGGTGTATATAAAGCAGGTAACTTCAGAGAATGATTTTGCAGTGCTTGTACTTAGAGCACTCCATGAACACAGATGACTGAAAATGCGCTAGTATTGACTTCTTTTGCGCAAGTGTTGATCACCCCCCAAGAAAAGACAGTAATAAACCATACTGTTGACTCAGATGGGAAACCTGTCCAGATATTTCTAACTGTACTAGTAAAGAAGCTCGAGCAGTTTCCCAGTTATGAGCTGAAATGGGTCAGACCTGAAAAACCACATGAAATCCCAGAATCCATGGCTGAATTCAGGTCTAAATTTCACAGCTCGTCCAAAGCCTCCAATCAGTTATGCTGCTATCATCAATAACCATTTCTTACAATTCATAAATAATGTGCAGCACTTTACGAGACAGAGTTTTTTGTTCCCCAAATAATTGATGATCTGGTTAAACAGATGAAACAAATCAGCCATGGAATATATTAGGAAATTCAGAGGAATCCTAAGGAACTTCTTCATTGTTAATGATGGCTAACAATGACAAAGTATTGTCATGCTGCAGATGTGAATTAGCATGTGTCAATGTCATGTAAAAAACAGTTGCATAGGAAATAATGAAAGGAGGTGATTTTGGAGTGGTGGGACAGGAAGCATAGGGTCAGCATGGGAGCAGGGCGGAGAGGCACTGCAGTATTTGCTGAAGGAAACTCAGCAGAGGAGAGCCAGACACAGGGGGCAGAACAGGCTGCAGAGCAGCTGAAGGCAGGGCACGTAACTGTCAGGTTAAAACACAGACAGAAATCAGCGGTCCAGGAAATGGCCATTCAGAAAGCACTTAATCACATATAAAATGCTACTGGCCAATAATTTCTACACAGGCATGAACTCTGCAGAATGCATGACTATGTAATGGTGCATCAGAAGACATCCAGTGAGTCCTGGGGGAGGGTTTGTGCCTGCATAGCAATCGAGCAAGGTGGCAGTACGAGTCAGGTGCTGCAGAAAGGGCCAAGGTACACAGTTTATCCCAGCGGATGACCTGGCTCAAAATGCTGAACAACATCCAACTCCTGCAGTTTTGAGTCTGTGTGCCCCCTACGGATCTGCAAACCGCCATCATCTACTACCTGGGACTGTAATTCAGAGGTTATTCAGGAAAGGTGGTTTTAATTACCCTTTTAAATGAATAATGAATATGGCAAAAAAATTCTAAATGGAACACAAATTTTAAATGGAACACACAATTACTTACTGAATTAACACAAAAAGATCTGAAATAAGGACAAAAGGAGATTATAAAGATGAACGATAAGATGATTTTACTCACTGAGAGTTTTTCCTTTGCTTGTTTAAATACACCAGGAGCCTGGTTTGTTTCACCACCTGCTGCTGAGAGACCCAAAGAAAGACTTGATAGTTAAAAACAAAAATAATAAGCATTTCCACTTAGTACACTTATTAGAACAATTAAATGCCTTGGAACTACTGTGCAAAGCAATTAGTTTGTGAATAACTCTCAGTGAACTGTATGCAGAAATGTACCTGCCTTAAAAATGTCCTATATTCATCGTACTTGAGGTAAAATAGTATTCTACACACTTAAAACAAATCTTCTAAATCTAAATCTTCTAAAAAATTTTGTATTCATGTTCCTAGAAGCCTGGAAACTACAGTACAAAGTTCAAGAAATAGTTGACAACTATAAGAGGCTCTAGTTCTGAAGGTCAATCCTCAGATGCCATAGCATCCTGATTTTCAGGACTGTCCTCTAAAAATCAGGCTCCTTTAAGTAATCCACAAATGAAAATCTTAAGAGGCTCCTGAAATCACCACTTTTCAAAATACTAGCCAACCTTCCTAATGGAAAGAGAGAGATTCACTGTTGAATTCTCATCCTAGGTGCGTCAACAAGGTCAGTGTGCCATGGGTCAACTAAGCCCTCAGACTTTAGCAATTCAAATTACATCTGGGACATCAAGTATGTTAATTCAGTATTTCATTTATCTGATACAACATGGTTTGAGGTAAGATTTTTCTCTCTGACTTAGATTCCATCCTTATGAAAAGTTTTGGAACGGGGCAGCTTTTCAGAAAGCAGGTTATTAGTTTCACCCCAACACTGTTGTTCAGGAGGTGATTTACCACACAAAAACTAGATGTGAAATCTTTTGGCATCTGTGCCAGGATACCCTTAGTAAATGCAGAAGTAGGACAGTGGTCACAGATGACAACCTTTTGCTGTAAACCCAACTGTCTTCCAACTGTAAAACCGATGCTAACACATTGTACAGGATAGAACTGATTAATTTTCTCCTTTCCCTGAGCAGTTCCTGGGCATGGTGAGGAGATCCCTGGTTTTCTGCCACACTTCCCACTCTAGTTCTGCCCTCTTAATATAATTTCATTGCTGTTTTTTTAAAACTGAAGGAGTAGGAGAGAAAACTTGTGAGGAGGAAAAGAATATATACTGTGTACTTCAGTTCTTCTGAATTTGTAAAAGGGATAAGTACAGCATAGCCCTTCTGCATCACATCTTACCACATCTGTTACTGCTGGTTTTGGTCTGTTTTGCATCTCTTCTAAATAATCACAAATAGCTTCTTTCCTCCTTCTCTTGGTATTGAACCCTAACCAGCCACCACTATGAAGTGGAAAAAATAGCTGTGCTGCTTGTGCTGTCTTACCTGAAAGCACCACAACTTCTCCATCTGAACAAAAGATCTCTACAGGCTCTGCTGCCAGTTTAAACACACAACAATCATGTTTTACCTCAGGGGGTGACCAAGGAATTGAAGACAAGGAACAGAAGTGTATCACATAGTGACTCCCGCTCATAGCCAGGTAATTGTCCTGGCCTTGCCACCGTAAACACTCCTCTGATGGCACAATGGCAGCAGCGTCTCACAGCCACTAACGAAACATGAGTCATATTGAGGTTTCACTCACGAACTACATCAGTCAAGGCAAAGACTTCACAACTCTTTCCTCAGAATTGGCCATGCAGTTTCTTTTTCGAATGGCAAGGATGAGTCTCTTAAAAAGCAGTCCCACCCTTGTGGATATGGCACTGCAGAGTTACCAGTATTTGCCAGTGCTTACCTCACAGGGACATGGGAATTTCTGTCTGGTATTGAGGGGAAAACAGGGGAAAGATGTCATTTCCCAGGCCACTACACAGAAAATATGAGCAAATACTAACTTTTTTTGTAGACACTTATGACTAGACATGTTTCATTTTAAAGTCACAGTAAATGCAACACAAAGGTTTTAACTGACTGCAATACACTCAAAGTTGTATAGACTACACTGCTGAGGGACTTTTGGTGGGGTTCCATTGGCGAGGTATCACTAAAGCTGACAAGACCATTCCAAATAGGACACACTGACAGTTGAAACTGGCTTCAAGAAATGGTGCTATGTTTTACATAAAAGGAAAAAGGTGAGAGAGACAATATCCCTCTAAATTCCAGATCCTGGAAAGAGATGGGTGACTGGTTCAGGCCCAGGGATATGTAGGTTAACATACGTCTGCCTACACTCTTAGAGTGCAGTGCTATGTGACATCCTTTCACTTGGCCTCCCCTCAAGTCCCATCAGTAAGTATAAAAAGGTGAGGTAAAAGAAAATAAGGGACACTGTGAATTTTCCAGCAACGCTGAGTGTGGTGAAACAGTCTAAGAGGTATTTTTGTTCACTTTGTGGTGTGGTTCAAGCTACTCTGCTTTAGAGCCCAAACCTCAAAGTTCAACCCACATTACTGCAAATTTTATGATCAATCTGGGTCCATTATTTTGGTTGCTCTCCATCTCAGGATTTAAATGTACTGGGAGGTCATTTTTGTATTACATTTTTCACTTTGACTAATAGATCTGCTTCACTAGGTGTTAGAGTGAGAGAGAAAAAGCTCTGTCAGTTGCCAGGCAGCACACATTTAAGGCACTGAGCAGATTTCCTTATGTGAGTCTATCGGTATGACTCAGGCCTCTCCAGGATGCTACTGGGCCAGAAGAGTTCTGAGGAGTTGGTGGTAGAGTATCTGAGAGCAAGACAGCATTGACCATGTGGCTGTAGAAGTGTAGACGAAGTCGAGAACACTACAAAGCTGACACTATTTTCCCCCATTTCCACCACTTATTGAACTCCCTGGGTCTTTTGAAAGAATATGTGAATTATAGGTCATAACTTCTGAGCTGATCAAGCTGTGCTTCAGCGAACAGCAAGAGGTAGCAAGAAGAGTTGTTTTAATCCTTTTTTAAAATTCCTCACTCTTGGGTAGTTCTGGTCCAGAGTGCAAGTTAGGATGGCCTAGAGACTGTGAACTGAGGAGAAGCCATCACTGCATCACAGAGGGGCCTGGATCAGCCTTTCCTTCCCTGGCTCCGCCTTTCCTTCCCTGGCTCCATTTCTCGTGAGGTGGGGAAGTAAACGCGCCAGATTCCCTCACAGGAGCAAGGCAATGGGACCGAGTATTTAGTTGTGTTGTCCTAATGGAATACAACCAGGAGACAATACATCATACGGTTGAGGCATGATATTAAAGCTACCCTCATATAACTATGCTTTTGCTGTATTTTCATTAGTCAGACCTCCATACTGAGACTGGTCTAAATTTAGAACAGGAGTGACTCATTGGTGCAAAACTGGATGGGAGCGACTTCTTAGGAACACTTTTGGTACTGCACTGTTTAACTATAGGATGGGTAATAAATCCTGTTCTTAATTTCTAAGCCACGAGAAGAGAGGCCTATGTAGTTCTGCATTGCTGTGCATGGTTCTTCTCTTAATAGCCCTAGTTTCACTCAGGAACAACCGCACTGCAGCATGCGGCTATGTTACATGACAGAAAACCTAGCCTCTTTTAGCAAATTTTTTTTTTCTTTTAAGATCACCAGAAAAGTCAAGATGTTAATCATTCCACCCTGAACTCACAGTAACAACAAGTAAAATATGATGAAAATGCTGAAAGTGTTGGTTTTGGTCCTCTAAATAATGATACACCTATCAAGATGTAACAGGAGTCATTTGTTTCGTCCTTTCATCTTCCTCTACCAAATATTAAAATTTTTGCTTGGAATGCATTTGTAGTGTGAGCCCAGATTTCTTCTCTCTCAGCTTCATGCTGCATGTGGCTGGATTCCCCTGTGGATTTTGACTGTACAGCATAAACATCAGTGACAGATTGGGAAGTGTCAATGCAGATAACATCAATCAACAAAATATAAGTCTGTAACACTTCTTATTATGCATGAGAGTAAAAAAGCAAAACAATGGAAATGCATACCATGGTTTAAGCTGTCAACATTTTCCCACCAGAAAAAAACAAAAAAGCATAATTAAAAAAAAAAAAAAAAGCAAAATAAAAAAAAAAAAAAAGCAAAATAAAAAAAAAAAAAAGCAAAATAAAAAAAAAAAAAAAAAAGCAAAATAAAAAAAAAAAAAAGCAAAATAAAAAAAAAAAAAAGCAAAATAAAAAAAAAAAAAAAAAGCAAAATAAAAAAAAAAAAAAGCAAAATAAAAAAAAAAAAAAAAAGCAAAATAAAAAAAAAAAAAAAAGCAAAATAAAAAAAAAAAAAAGCAAAATAAAAAAAAAAAAAAGCAAAATAAAAAAAAAAAAAAAAAAAGCAAAATAAAAAAAAAAAAAAAGCAAAATAAAAAAAAAAAAAAGCAAAATAAAAAAAAAAAAAAGCAAAATAAAAAAAAAAAAAAGCAAAATAAAAAAAAAAAAAAGCAAAATAAAAAAAAAAAAAAGCAAAATAAAAAAAAAAAAAAAGCAAAATAAAAAAAAAAAAAAAAGCAAAATAAAAAAAAAAAAAAGCAAAATAAAAAAAAAAAAAAGCAAAATAAAAAAAAAAAAAAAGCAAAATAAAAAAAAAAAAAAAAGCAAAATAAAAAAAAAAAAAAGCAAAATAAAAAAAAAAAAAAGCAAAATAAAAAAAAAAAAAAGCAAAATAAAAAAAAAAAAAAGCAAAATAAAAAAAAAAAAAAGCAAAATAAAAAAAAAAAAAAAAGCAAAATAAAAAAAAAAAAAAAGCAAAATAAAAAAAAAAAAAAGCAAAATAAAAAAAAAAAAAAGCAAAATAAAAAAAAAAAAAAAGCAAAATAAAAAAAAAAAAAAAGCAAAATAAAAAAAAAAAAAAAAGCAAAATAAAAAAAAAAAAAAAGCAAAATAAAAAAAAAAAAAAAAGCAAAATAAAAAAAAAAAAAAAAGCAAAATAAAAAAAAAAAAAAAAGCAAAATAAAAAAAAAAAAAAGCAAAATAAAAAAAAAAAAAAAAAAAGCAAAATAAAAAAAAAAAAAAAAGCAAAATAAAAAAAAAAAAAAAGCAAAATAAAAAAAAAAAAAAGCAAAATAAAAAAAAAAAAAAAGCAAAATAAAAAAAAAAAAAAGCA